GATTGATTAAAGCAAACACTTCCCTCCCCATGCTTCCAATCCAGTCCATGTGAAAAACTCAGCCAAGTTAATTACCAGTTACAAAAAAATGCAAACAAAATGTGTACATTATTTAATTTTCATCTGTTTGAATCAGTAAAACTGACATTAAAAAAACCCTCTGCTCAGTTTACCTCTCCCACTTTCAGTTTCTTCATCTGTCAAATGAGGGTGTTGGGACGAGACAACCTCTAAGGTCCCTTACAATTCTGCATCTATGACTCTGTTATTAAGAGTTCCTTTGTTAAAGCTAAAATACTCTTGGATCAGAAAACTGTAATGGATAGGAGGACTGTCCCCAGCAATGTCTAAGAATTTAGTTGCCATCACATGGGTGAAGAAAAGAATATCAGAGTATCTGAGTTCAAATCTCAGTTCCGCTTGCTGACTGCCACCTACCTGGGCAACCTTTGGCAATTCTCTTAATCTCTCTGGGCCTCGGTTTCTTCACCTGTAAAATGTGAGGAGTTGAACAGGGCTTTGTTTTGTTTTTTTCCTGGCTAGGCAATGGGGTTCAGTGACTTGCCCACGGTCACACAACTAGTAAGTGTTATGTGTCTGAGGTCACATTTGAACTCAGGTCCTCCTGAATCCAGGGCTGATGCTCTATCCACTGTGTAACCTAGCTGCCCCTTGAACAGGGGTTTTTAATCTGAGGATGATGAACTTGTTTTTTTAAAAAATATTTTGTAAACTGCATCATATCATCTTACTAAAAACATTCTGAGAAGGGATTCATAAATTCTGTTGTACTGCCAAAGTGGTCCAGGTTACAAAAACTGATTTAAGAAGCCCCAATCTGTAAGATTATCTTCAGCTCTAAATGACTGATCCTTTGTTAACTATCCCAAATGGCTGGCTAGCAGGTAATGGACCTCCTGACTCACAGAAAGCTGTGCTTGCACGGGGTCTAACGCTTTCCTTCTCACAGCACAAATCTCTACTTCAAGGAGGAATTACACAGCCCCTGAATAACAAACAAAAGGTCCTGGCAGTTGGGGGCCCCAGAACCACTGGCCCAGCCGCCTTGGGATTCTTCTCCCCCTTCCCTTTCTTTTTCCAGGGCTCCCAGTGGAGGGAGATGACTTTACCGCTGGAAGGATAGAGCTGCTATTATGTTCCAAAAGTAAGTGAGAGGACCCGGCAGCACACTGCAGCTGGGGAATTCCAACTCTCAGTGTGTGGAGAAGAGCTCTGCAGCCCATGGAGTGAAAGGAAATTCAGTGCCTCTTGTCTCACAGGAGGAAAATTAATATCAGAGAGGCTAAGTGACTTAGACCAAGATATCTTAAAATATTTTTTCTATTGAAATCACATTTTTTGCATTTAAATACAAAAATAAAATATTAGTTTACTTAAAACACAAAAAAAATGTTTTAAAAACAAGTTCATGGTTTTCTCAAATTAAGAACCTCTGATCAATCCCCACATTTTACAGATGAAGAAACTAAAGCCCAGAGACGGTAAGTAAATTGTCGAAGGTTATACAGAATAGTAGAGCCAGGATGTGAACCCAAATTCTTTAATTTTGATTCTAATACTCCCACCTCCCCCCACTCTACCAAGGAGGCAATTTCATGGGTTCCTTCAGGCAGAAGTTCACCCAGGAAAAGGGTGGACTTAGGAAGGAAAAGAGTGGACCTCTTCCACATTACCACCTGTATACATCTAAGAGAAAGATTTAGCCCAGAAGAACCAAAATTTTGAGACTGCTTGTTAACAGCCTACATAGGAGCTCTGCCAAAGGAATTCACTGTTTCTTTTTTTTAAAAAGAAACATCCATATTCTGAAATTTCAAAGTAAATGCTATTCTCCTTCCTCAACTTTTTTCTAATAAAAGTACACTTTTAAAATTCATTAAAGAAAAAGAAGCGAGTGCTACTTTAATTCATTAAAGAAAAAAAGTGAGTGCTACTAGATATTAGGACAGGATTCAAGTTATCAAAGGAATCTTGAAGTCTGGGTGGAGCTCCAATACCAGGAAGGTGTGGTTTATTTATAAACAAACAGAAAGTAGGAAAAGCAAATATCACACCCTTCTAGTTAAACACAACCACAGAAAGGTCTCTTTCAACCAGACTCACCAACTTTATATAAAATTCCCCTGTTAGAAAAGAGTAGAGAATAGTAATAAACATAATTTTAGCTCCGTAAGGGGCTTGTTGGGTAATTTTTTTTTCTTAAAATCACAGAAGGAACAAGACTTCAGATGTCATCTCCAGGAGAACTCTATAAAGAGAATTTATTTAATACTTTTTTTTCCCCTTTCCACCTCCTTCAATTTCAGTAACATTCCTCCAGGGCTTTTGTTTTAGTTGCAATGGAATCCCAGGGGTGCCCATTCCACTCTCAATTTGGCTGGTTTTATAGAATCCTTTAGCTCTGTTCCAGTTCACAGAGCTCAGGGTGGAATAAAAGGGTAGTAGTATTCTATTATAAAGTCAGAAATTTTATTTTTCTCTCCCAACTCTGAGGCTTAAACTACCAAAAAAATCTCAATAAACCCAAGTCAAGCTGAAAAGCATTTATTAAGCACCTACAGGACCAGGTTTGTTTTTTTTTAATGTTTGTTTCATTCTGCACCTAAGACAAAGAGTCAAATCAGAAGAAAACATATTTGAAACTGGGGATAGAAAGCCTTTCTGGGCACAAATTGAGTACCCAGCTTCAGCAGAAACTTCTTAAATTCTTATTTCTGTAGAATAAGAATTAGCATTTAGAACTATGACCCTGAGGACACTTTAAGGTCAGAGAGGTCAAATTTAAACTCACTGTCTTCTGCCTATGAAGGGAATATACCTATTTTAAAAAAATATTCAACTAGAGGAATTCCCCTCTATATACTGAATATATACTGAAATTTTTACTGTATCTAAACCAAGTTTCCTGAAAATTTTAAGGATTCCAATCTATTTCTGGGTGAAACAAAAACATACATGGAAAGGAACCATCAGTTAGTTGCAAAGGGACACAGAGAATACGTGTATTTTGATTTCATTTATGATAACAAGTTAGGATGTTACAGAAACCAGTAATAACTTTATAATTCATTTTATTTCTGTTTTTTTTCGGGTTAGGTGAATTTTCTTACTCTCAATTATCATATTAACTTAGCAATATAGGTCTTTGTTTTTGCTCTAAACTAGACTCCTGAGACCAATTTCCATGCCTGATGCAAAGTGCTGGAAGCACACTGGATAAAATGCATCATTTGATCTGCATCATTTACAAAATTAACCCTATTTCCTGGTACTGAAGTTATTTGTATCTTAACGTACTGCCTGACATTTAAGGACTATCAGCGTGGCTAGGAAAAGTTTATTCCTTGATTTTTCCTAGTATTATTCAAAAGTTCGGAGAAGATCCCCTCAAGAGTTAGGGAAAATAAAAATGGAAGTTTTCTACATTATCCTACTAATGCTAAACAATTCTAAGATTCTTCATTTAAATATTAATTTTCATTGCTAGCTTCCCTGAACCTGTTCAAATACACAATTACTCTATGCTCAATAATAAAGTCTCATTTCTTTCAAGACAATTATTGCTTTATGCTTAATTGTAGGCAATTGCATTATATTTCACTGGGCTACTTTACAAAGATTTTCTACCAAAAATTACAAATAGTCATATCTCAGGCAACTCTCAGTTTCTGCAGCCTCAGAGTGACCCCCATGTGTCTTGCAGGATAAACACTTTTGGCAGGAACAGCCATAACCAATACATAAAGATGATCTAATTTTAAAAGCTTCTCATTACCAGCCCTTGGTCCAAGTTTTTCCCCTTGTGAATATTTTCCAAGCACATGGAAGTAAAAGAAGGAGAGAGAAGAAGAGAGAGTAAGAGCTGTTATTTAATACTGACTAAGCTGGAACCTCCCAATGCTCAACTATTCCCCCTTCTTTGAAGCCTGGGACTTTTACCTAGTTAACTCATTCAGGTTACTCTAAGGCCAAATAACTAATCAGACAAAATGACTGGTAGCCAAAGCTGCCTAAAATTTCCTAAAGGTATTCATGAAAATAAAGGATAGCTTAGCCAACATGGCAACCAGGGTCAACAGATTCGAATTTTGCGTTAAGTGTTATAAGGAACAGATGAACAATAGTAATAGCCTGGATTGATATAAGCACTTTATGGCTAACAAAGTACTTTTTTACAACAACCATCAACATTCCAATTTTACAGATGGCAAAACTGAGGCAAAGCAATTCAGGGATTTGCTCAAGGTCATTCAGCTAGAAATCCGGGCCCTGTCACAAGATTAACCTAGAAAAGCAAAGATTAGTCCCATGCACAAAGCCAAGGTGTGTCCTGGCCTGTCAGTAGTTATTTAGATTTTTCCAGTCTTTATTCAATAGTTACAGGTGATAGACGTCTGATCTGAAGAGTTGTTTTAACAATGCATTTTATACCTAACACGTTTTACACTTAATGGAAATACAGAAACAGGAATGCCAGTTGCAAACATTATAGTACTATATACAAGTCACTATCAGATTTTCCCACTATGTAGTTAACTAAAATAAGTCTTGAGTCCTTCACCGTCATATCTAGTGAGCTAAAGAAGCTTATTACCCATTTCTCATTACCAGTTTTAATGAGAGCTCCCCTAAAATCAGAATGATCTGGGTTCAGGACCTACCTTTGACCAATATTAGCTGTGGAACCCTGGGCAAGTCACTTAATTTCTCGGGTCTCTAGGCAACCAGAGAAGGTGACTACCTGTACCAGTAGAGGGACTTTGCTCACCTAGGAGTTCCTTATACCAATAAAATCACAGGGCCAGTCCCATTACTAATTATCTAAGCATTTACTGAGTTACCACTGGTGGTTTTGGGAAACCTTCTACTCAGAAAAACTTATCAGGGAGTTACCAATACTTTTAAGCAGGAACAGAACAAAAGAGCCCTTTTGTAACACAGAATCAGAAAAGTAAATCTTCCATCTTTGAAGACCTTACCACTGAGACAGGATCCATGGCCTCTTGCTTAACAGGGACAGGGTCAAACATCAGCATTCTTTTAATTAAATCCTCTAAGATGTTCTTGTGTTTTGTCTAGAAAACAAAAAGAAAGGTATACAGCTGAAACCACCCAAATTGATTCCTAACATAAACTGGTACCCCAAAATTAAAATGAAATACCCCCCCCACACACACATACAATATGTATACACTACTAGGAATGTCTGGAATTTGCTTCCTTTACTTAAGAAAGATGCCACTTTATATAATCAAAACCAGACTGTAAAGTCCCAAGCAGACGATAAGTCAACTAGCATTTCCTCCAGTGAAATGTACAACTCCCCTTTTCCTACCCACCCCAATTCTGAAAGAGTGTGTGAAGCCACTTTTGAATAACCAAGCAGGCCTGGCTTTCTCTTACTACAGATAAAGACCTAATCTTAAAGCCCACAAAGAAATTCACAGTCTGGGTCTACATGCAAAATGAAATTCATGGGATATGGGGTGTATCACATCACGTTTGTCTTCACCATCTAGGGAACTGCTACAGAATTGGAATTACCTGGAATACTGGCATAGGCAAAGGCGAACTTTGTCCTGGGGCTCACACCCTGTATTAAGTCCAAGTCTTACACACACGTGCTAAATAGACCTAATTTATCTACCTCTTCCAACAGATCTCACCTTAATAAGTATAGCACAGCCCCAGAAGAAAAAGTTCCCAGGTCAGAAACCAGTAGCCCTACAGGAAGAGCTAGTCTAGCTTCGGTATGCACTCTGATGCAGGGCACAGTTCTTACCTCTGCCCTAGCTCACAGGGTTGTTGGTAAGGATTAGATAATTAGACATCTAAATCAGTCTCTAAATATAGTGGAAAGGGGTCAGCAAGATGGTAAAGTCAGCAAGTTAATTAAGGCCTTCAATGCTGATCGTTTGAGAGCAAAGTTGGCTCTAAAGAATTAGGTAATATGGAATAGTAGAGAAGGCCTGGACTTGGAGACAAAAGACATGTGACCAAATCCCACCTTTCCCATTTTCTGTACTCTGGATGATGATGGGCAAGTCAATCACTCTCTCTGGGCCTCAGTTTCCTCATCCGTAAAATAAGGGAGATGGATTAGACGACCTTTAAGGTTGCCTCTCCATCTGGAACCTATGATCCATAGGAGTCTGTATCAAAAAGAAGTCAATTCCTTCAACTCATCCAGTATCCTTCTGTCACTCTATTTCTAACACCTTAGGCATCTCACCACCTACATACACACAATCTGTCAACATCTCCCAAATGGCCACAGAATAAACAGACCAGACACCTTGGCTTGCTTTTCCAGACCCTCCATAATCTGTCCAGCCAGTCTTATCTCTATTATTCACCTTCAAGAACCCTCCTCTCTAGCCAAAATAATTTATTCAATGTCTCCCCTAAAACACATCTTGCCTTTCCTACCCTCTGCCCTTTTACCCACACTGTTCTCCCTTCCAGAAACCTCCCTATTCTTCCAAATCCTACTAATACTTCAAATCCCAGGTCAGAATCCATCTTCTCTAGAAAAACTTGAACCACCCTAAACTCATCATTCATTTCTGTGCTCCTCTAGAAATTACTCACCATGGAAATCATTTATTAATTAAATCATGCAGTCTTGGTATTCCTCTTGTTTTCTTGCACTACTATTTAAACTTCCCATTTAACTTATGTCTTATCTTCACAACCAAAAATAAGCCCCTTTAAATGTGGTAATTACTTAATACTTCCACCTCTGTGCCTAGACTTAATATAATATTTGCTGCTTGAGCTGATGCTTGTATTAACGATCTTCTACACTTAAATCAACTTTCTAACTTCAGTGTTAATATTACAGCTCCATGGCACAAATTAACTACCTTTAGAGAAATAAATACATAATAAATAAGCTGTTTTCATGACACTGGTTATCACAAGGGAAAAAAAAGTCCAGCACAAAGCACTAGGTCCATAAGATCACAACAGATTTCCTTATGCTTATCTAAAGTACATATCTAAAGTACCACCATGTTTAACAAAAAAGCCCAAGGGTGTTATCTGGCTTACTCGATCCATAAGCCTAGCAGCATTTTGTTAGAAGTTAGTTTCTTCTGTAAACTAATATTAGACTTTTAGGAGACTATCACAGGATATAAATGCAGCAATACATATTTACTGATGGAATATCACAAAAAGACCAGGGAACTAAGGAGAAGTCAAGGTATGGTCAAACAGAACACCCTGAGCAATCATGAATAAGAAGAAATAATACAAAAATTATTAACAAAAAAACCATCATTTTCTGATGTGGTTTGGAATTTTTAGAAACAGCATTAATCCTCTTGGCCCAAAATAGTTGATGGACTTTCCCCCAGAATGTCCAGTCTATATCTCAGAAGTAATTTAGGCACTGGGGAGTCAGGGCTGTTTATGTAACATGGTTTTAAATAAGGTGTGTGTAGTGTTCTAGGGTTGTTTAATTAAATGGAATCTGGCTGCAGAACTTAAGTCTTCCTATGTAAGACCTTACACTCAATTGCCTTTCTTCTTATGTCCAGTAGATGGCAGGCTATATCCATCCAAACACCATGTTGCCTATCAAGTAAGGTTGATTTATGCAGGGGAATTTTAAATCACTTAACTTTAGTTAATAGACTCTATTAAAGAGGTCACCAGAGATATGGAATATGCCTCCAAGTGTATATAATGCTGTTTTCCCCTTTATGAAAGCTTCCTAATCAGTTACACTTGTATTTTAACTTTTTTAATCAATTTATCCACAATCAAACCAAAGTCTGAATTATTTAACAAAACAAAAAAAAAAAAAAAAAAGAAAAAACCCCACCTTTTGGACAAAAAAAAAATAAACCTTCCCTAATTTACAGGATTATTAAAGTTGAATATAAATTACACTTCAAGCTTTCAAGGAGAAAGGAGTTTAAAGTGAAAATTTAGGCCAGGCAACACCAAGGTAACACGAAAATAGAAACAAATGTTTCCTTGTCAAGGAATCCGAGGCAGCATGGGGATGGGGTGGGAAAAAAAAAATTAAAGAACTCTAGTACTTTGCCCCAAAAGGAGGAAAGGCAGCTTTTCAATTCCCTTTACATTATACTCTTATCTTTCAAAATTGTCAAGGCGAGAGCCAGTATTTTGCTAAAAATTTAGTAAAATGCTTGTGTTACTCATTCAGTGAACTTTTAGAAATGGTACCATTCCCATTATCTGGTCTCCAACTCCTTTCCAAAGTTCCAAAGTGGCCCCAAATTTATGAAAGGATTGAGCTCCAAAGTTTTAAAAGTCAGCTTTTCGGAAGTCAAAGATGCACTTTCCCAAAGAAAAATGTTATTTACTGTTCCTTCAAAAAAAGCCTGGGTAACCCACAGTGTACTTCCATGGTCCCTAAGCCTGTGTTCTAAGAGCAGAGGACTATTTGGTGCAGAAGTAGGAGGGTGGTTTTTTTGCTTTTCTCTGCCTCCAAGTATCTGGCCTTCCTCTCCAGGCCGTGAGTGCCCTCCCACTGCCCCTGGCCTTAAGTCGTCTTGTTATTGCAAAATCTCACAGAGGTACAGACTGTCCTTCCCCAACATACACCATACGCTACAGAAGTATTTCTCCCTTTTAGTCAAAACCCATTCTCCCTCAAATTCAGCTGGTCTTAACTAGGTATTAGGAAGAAAGCAATTTGAATGACTTAATATGTAAATGGAGAGCAGAGCCTTTACCCTTCCGAAGATGTTAAAATAGCAAATAAAAAACCAAGTTAGAAGTAACAAAATCAAAACAAATTCTGGCCATGTAGGGGAAGGTATTCTTGGGCAAGACAGTCACCGGTAAAGCTGGCCAGTTTCACCTTATGCCTTCTCCCCTACCCACCCCCACCCACCATATCTCCCCCCCCCCACTTACTTGACTGCCAAAGACTGTAAAAAGTTCCAAGTTTTCTTCACTCTAGTTCCCACGAAAGTAGGCGCTGGATCCCCTACCCCAAACATCATCTTAAGTCAGGCCCCATCTTTCCAATATGACAATGGAAAAAAAGCTTATGGTTACTTGGAAATTAATTTTACTTCTGTGACTTACTATCTTCAGAAACCACAAGCCTGGACTGTTTGCATGAAACTAAAAAGCATATGGAACATTCTGGGAGTCTTTGCTCTTCATAAATTAAAGCAGTTCTTTTTGCATTAAAATGTCTTAAATGGAAATAATAGTTAATTATTTCGTTTCAGATTAAATACAATGATCCAGTAAGTAAACTCTCCCATCCTGTCTCCTTTCTGTTGCCCTCTCTCTCCCTTCGAACAAGCCACCCAATTTTACTTTCCGGGCTCCCACCCATTTTGCTACACCCAATGGATCCAGGCCAAAGCAGTCCAACTTGTCCAAACAGGACATGGCTTTTGATAAGATTCTGCCCACACCCTGTACTTCGGAAAGACAAGTGAAGCAATTGATTTTGCATGTAAATAAGGACAGGTGCAAAGGTAAAGTCCAAGCAAAATCCCTCCCTATTTCTAGACTGACGTCTCAGAAAAGGAAAGAAAAATCCACACACAGAAATCCTTTATCAAAGGTCAACACTCAAATTCAATGCCACCTTGTTAGCAGCAATCCACACCTTCTTAAACTTTAGCAAGCACTAATCATTTTCCCTACTAAGGTTACATACTGGTTTTCTTTAAATTGTTTGACAATTTTCCCTTTTAGGGTCCTGGGAAGCTAAGAATTTGTAGCCTGCTTTACACAAGCCCTTTCCTCAGACTGTGTCTCACAAGGCTTCAAGTGAGAGTTGATTAGGCTCTTCTGTAAAGCATTATATAATCAATTCTAGAGGGCTCACAGCAACCCTTCAGCAGATCACATCATTCCTCATCTTTCCCTGTATTTAATTTTTCATCTTTGCCTACCACATCTCACTTGAACTGGAGACCCACCCTGCTCCACCCTGGAGGGGACCCCACCCAGTGTCCCACCCTGCTGGGTGTGGGAGGATGGGAGGGCCTAATTGGCTTCAGTCAGTAGCCAGTTCCTGGAAATTCCGGCCTGAACAGGGATAGCTGGCAACCTTGTAAATAACCAAAATGTATCATCTTTGACTGTGGTAATTTATTGAAGGCTCCTGAAATGTTTTTTTACCAAACATCCAATGGACTTAGGATGAAAAGCAAGGGTCTATTTTTATAATTGTCCTTACCCTCTAAGAAACATCGTAAAGCTAAAAACAAAAACATCTGACATAGAAACAAAAAATAAAATTCAATGTCAAGAAATAAATCCCTTATATTTATTTCCCCTCTTGCCCACCTCCCTCCCCAGCTTTCCTATTTTTTCATCAATAGCACACAATTCTCCCAATTACCCGGGCTGGAAACCCTGGGGATCATCCTTAATTCCTCCCCTTCCCTTCTCTTTCCTTCCACCCCCCCAAAAGAACTAATCACATCTTCTCAATTCTTCCTTTGTCTTTCCTTTCCAAAGCCAAAAACCTAATCCAAGACCACATTGCCTCAAACTGAGATCAGTGCAGGAGCCAAAGATGCCTGATTATAACCTCTCCCACCTGCAGCCATCTTGCCCTAATCATATACCTTATAACATGATCAAAGTTCCATGTTTAAAAATCTTTACCAATATATCTCCTTTCCTTTCCTCCCATGGAACATTTATTAAGTGCCTCGAGTGTGCATAGCAATGCACAACAAGTTTCTGATATTAGGCAAAACTAGAAAGACAGAAATATCTGGATGAATTTTCAAGCATAAAAGTAACATGACCAGATTTACACACATGATAATGGGATGTCAGAGCTGAAAGAAAACTTAATAAAGGATTCATTTTCACTACCATCCATCCCTCTTTCACACTTAGATGGTGTTTGAATGCTTTCCTTTTGTGAGGTAGGTAGGCTATATATAGTATTTATCCCTATTTGTACAGTCAATAAGTCAGTCAACAAGTATTTATTAAATCAAGTCTGGCTTAGGATAATAGCTCTGACGTGCCAAGTATTTCTAGTACAACCCCCTCATAAGAAACTAGTCAAGTCTAGTACCCAGGGAAAGAGATCAGAGATCTGTTGGCCACACAGGGTTGTTGTGAAAAAGATGCTTCAGACTTCAAAATTCATAAAATGTGGATCATTACTTGGAAATTATTAGAGTAGTCCAGGTAATAAAACCCAACAAATACTTAAGTATGCATCTACTACATAGATGACTATTAGGTCCCTGAGACGCAAAGGCAAAAACAGTCCATGTCCTCAAAGAGCATTTGTTCAAAGGATGGGGGTGGGGCAACAGGTACACAGGTAAATATGAGCCAGATAGAAATTTAGTTAAAATAGCCCTCACAGAGTTTACATACAGCCTAGTACCATTCAAAGGAAGTTTAAAGCCATCCTTTAAGAGTGCAAGATCGAGGCAGCTAAGTAGCGCAGTAGAAAGAGCACCGGCCCTGAAGTCAGGAGGACCTGAGTTCAAATTCGACCTCAGACCAAACACTTGACACTTACTAGCTGTGTGACCCTGGGCAAGTCACTTAACCCCAATTGCCTAAAAGGGGGGAAAAAAAAAAGAGTGTAAAATCTACAAGGAGTAAATGTGAGAAAATTGATAGGAAAAAAAATGGGCAAATAAAGCCAATGCACTGAGGAAGGAAAGGCAGGAACAGTGACTTCCTGAGGTTCTTCAGGCAACGTTATCATCTTAACCAGTAAGAACTCAATGGGTACATTGCTCTTTTCCAAAGAAGTGGAATGGCCCTTTCTAAAAAATGTTTGTAACCAGGAGATGGTAGATAAATGGACACTTGCAGTTCTAGTATTCACAGCTCCTAGGCCATGGCACTTATGGCTCTGAGGACATGTAGGAATTTAATATTCATAGAGTCACACATACATGTAAAGGGAGAGAAGATGGACGGATGACTTTTAGCTTAAACTCAACTGGGGCAGTACCTCAATGCCACCCCTCCCTCAAAGTAGTTAATTATAGCCCCAGTCCCATCATTCTTGGATTAATAAATAAGTAAAAGAAACAATCTAGGCATCCAAACTTAAAGCTATCTATTATTCTGCTTCTCTGACACACCTGTACTTTTGTCCATAAAAATCCAAGGGAAAAATTGGCAGCTTTATCTAAGTCAATACGGAAATCCTCACTGTAATTCTATGAAGTTGGAAGGGTCAGGCACTTTCATCCCCATTTTAGAAATGAGGAAATAAGAGGGACAGAGGTGGAAAGACTTGCCCAAGATCAAACAGCTTGTCTGAATTGTAGCCAGGACTAGAAATAGGCCTAATTATTTTAGATCCTTCTATGTAATGAGGACCTTGCAGCCCATGCTGTGGCCCTATCTTTTAGGTGAAATCATCCTATAAAGAGGCTCTTTTTTGGCAGTTCAGTAATGACACCTCACTGGATGGGGTCCAAGAAAAACTTGCCTTCTTCTGAACTCTGTTCTTTATCAGTATCATAGCAAAGTTCCAGGGCAAGAAATCAGATTGTGAATGCTTTTTTCAGGTTTGATCTCTGAAGAACTTCACATATCTCAACCTTACACATAATAGGTATATAAGGGATCACTATTGAATGAAATGAACCTCAAAATAGACTCCTCCCCCCCCCCAGTCTGGTTATAAAGAAGATCATTAAGCCTATATTCCTGTTACTTGACAAAGAGAGCTTTTGCACTATCATAGTCTTAAATGATTAAAATTAGAATTTTATTTAATAAATTACTAATTACTAAAAATTATCCTAAACAATTAACAGGAACAAAGTTAGACAAAAACTGATCTTCTAGATTTGATAAGAGATGGCCTTCACTTTTAAGAATGTTTTCACAAAGTGGTATAGGAGAGAGAAGCACTGGGGAGTGTCAGGATGCAAAATACTGAAACAGATAAGGGAACAGAGTTAAGTGATTAAGCTCAAAGAACAGTAGTTGGGAAAAAGAATAAAGAACAGGAGTAGGAAGGGAAAAAAAACCCTTTATTTACAGGCAGCCCTTTTTTTTGTGTGTAGAATGTACTAAGCTAAATGACTGTTTGACTCACTGATATTCTGAGGTCAGTCTGGTTCAGGCCAAATTCCTTAGATTTAGGTCTAGACTGGCCCCTAGTCATCCCTGGGGACAACTCAGGCCTGCCAAAGATCATCAACAATCTCAAGGGTATCCCAGAACCAACCTAGGTCCCTCTAGATCTTCCAGATGAAGAGGCTGATTCACATTCCCCTCTAATTCTGGACTACACCCAGGGATTTGGCTGGAATGGGCCAGCCTAAAGCATGTAAATGGTTCAATGCTCAATTAATTTACTACATTTTACTACTGTCTGTCTCTCATCTTTTCTTTCTTTTTTTTTTTTTGGAGGTGGGAGAGATGATGGTAAAAAATGGGGCAGAAAAAAAATGGAAGGAGGCAATACTTTGCTTGAGTGTGCAATGGGGGGGAGCTCCCCTATTTTGTTTTGTGTTTTTTAAGTACCAATTTATTCTAAGACTAAAAAATTTCAACAAAGTTGTTAAGTATACAGATAACTTCTAAACTGCCCAGAAATATCACATTTTCCAGAGTTTATATAAGACTGGTTAAAAATCAATACATTCTTGTATAGAGGTATATATAGCTCATCCAGACTTTTGATTCAGAAACAGTAGATTTGCATAGCACTGTCTCCTTTATTTTAACAACCACTAGACTCCAAGGAAGGAGGAGAATGGAGGGGGGAAAAAGCAGTGGCTACCTCCCTTAGACAATACCCTGCCTTATCAGGGCAGACTGCTGTCTGGTTTCCTGTCTCTGCACTGGAGAGAAGAAACAAAGTCTAGTAAAGTGAACAGATCAGACTTCTAAAAACAAGTATGCTGAATAGTGTCTAATAATCCTCTCATGCACATGGACTTTAAAATTAATTTGGTATGGAAACACATAGATAAATAAACCAGGTCTTAAGTTTTCAGGAAGAAATCCTGCGAAATAAAGGAGCTGAATGTTTGGACCAATTTCAACTCCTCTTTAAAGAAAAATGCAAAAACAGTGCCATTTCCTAGTTTTTAAGGATGAATTTGCTTTTTTTTTTTTACTTGCTCAAACAAAACTGGGTCACCCGTGAATAGATCTGACAACAGGGTATGAAGTTAGCATCTAGGAAAGCTGAAAAACAAACAATTCAGCTTGTTAATTTTATAGAAAGATGGGGATTTAGAGAGCGAAAGGAGGCGGGACATAAGTATCCAAGGGGATTTCACTAGGGGAGAACAAAGATGAATGGAAAAATGATTAAATAAATGTGGATTTTTCTCAAGAGATGAGGCTGTTGTTGTCCAGCATACCAATGTTTGTTAGTAATTAGAGTGACTGTGTACCAGACATCAGTAAAATTTCCCCACATTATTTTTGAGTTTATCATTTAGAAGTTCGCTAAAGTTTTATCTTGCTGGTTTATCTATCATGTTCCCTCTGAAGCTAAGGATCATTATTAGATCCCCCAAAGGGAAACAATGATTAGGGAAACCTATTCAGGATGAGTTAAACTTTGTCTGAAAGCATGTCTGCCAAATACCATATTTTGGACTGGAAGCAAGCAGCTTTAGAATGAAAACACAAAAGTTTCGATTTTTAAGGGCTCTCCACTCAAAAGATGGCTTAAATCTCTAACGTTTGCTTTCCCTTTTCCCAAAAGAAAGCACAATTTTAGACCTTTTCCAAAATCCCATCTTCTGCTAAGGGAAAGCTTAGCTTTTACTTGACATACTAGTTTCCAACATCTTTCTTACCATTTAGGTCATAAAGTGAAGATGAGGTGGAAACTGTGCTGTCCTAGATTATCACAGGTATTTAATGAGATTTTTCTGATACTGAATATAAATTATAGAATATTATTTTCTATAAAACTTTATGGATGAAGACTATTACACAGAAGGATCTAATCTCATTCTATAATGCTCTCCTACTGAAAGAAAATTAAAAACCCACTAAAGGTCAACAAAGTCATAAAAACTTACCAAAAATTAAGTTATTTCTCTTCTAACCAAAACTTTTTCTTAAAAATTAGTTTCTGTAGAGGTAAGAAGAAAATAATTTGTAAATGTACATTTTAAAAAAAAAGCTAAACTGAAATGTTAAACTGCAAATAGTACATAGAAAAAGAATTATAGCAATCCATGGAATGATATATAAAAGTGGTCAATGCTCCAAATAGAAAAAATTCTCCTTATGAAGTTCTTACAGGACCCAAGAATTCCCAAAGCATCATGAATAATTTTCCCAATTTCCAGCTTTCCTTTCCATTTTTCACTTTTAATCCTTTCCTGAAGTCAGACCCAGAATAAAAAATCTTGATGTTCCCTTAAAAAAATTATCTTGGTTTTTCTTCAGTCATGCAATGCAATTTAAAAAAAAAAGTATTCTTCAAAATGTAAGCAGAGAATTCAAGATGGCCAAGAGCACCTGAATCCTCCAATTAAAGAGTAACCACCTATGTCTGAACAGTTATCTTGTGTTAAAAACCTGAACAAAGTAGACCATCTTTTTCAGGTGAGTCTTCACTCCATCATCTGCACAAAACTACATATGGTTAATCCCAATCCAAAAGTGGCATCTTCAGAGCAGAATACATTTCTCAAAACAAAAACCACCCCAAGAGAAAATAAAACAACAAAACCCTCAGAAATCTCCCCAGATAATGCATATGCATCAAAAATCATAATTTGGGATTAAAATAATAATGGAAAATTTATTCACACATATAAACACATTGAAGTAAAGGGGTGTGTGTAAAAAGGTTAACTGACTTCTCATTATGACATAATACAGGCATCTTAAGCAATCATGAGTGTGTGGAGACATGATAACTCCCTGGGTGGGGATTGGGAGTTAAGGGGCAGGGACAAGGGGCCTGGTCTGGGCTACTGATCTACCAGAAAACAGCCTGAAACAGGAAAGAGCACACATATGCCACTAGGAATGTATGACGCAAACCCCAGCCTTGAAACAAAGAACAGGAAACAGCTCTGCTGGCTGTGCTGGAGAGAAAGCACAGAGAAACATTTAGCCAGCCCTCCCTGACCCTATATTCATGAGCAGCTGGAGTTTTTAAAACAACAACAGGGGGTGGAGGTGTTTGTTAGATGGGTGTGAATAACAACACCATCCTATACATGGGACCTACCCTATTTACAAATATAAGCAACCACATACAGTAAACACCCCAAGTGAACATTCAGACAGGAGAGCCCATCATAATTAACACCAGCCTTCCCTCCTGATTTCTTTTGTCCCTTTCTCCTTCCTCTCAAGGAGCAAGTACCAAGTGGTACACAATTTTTCAGTCAGGTTGCCCATTACTTTTATTATTATGGCTTATAACAGGATTTTTTGGGGGGGGAGGGGAGAAGAGGTTGATGACTGAACGAATAAGTGAAGAACACAGATTATAGATCCATTCCCAGCATTACTATGAACACAATGGGATCACAGTTACTAAAATACCCATCGAATCAGGTTCATTCATTCATTCATTCATTCATTCCTGGTTCTGAATTGCCAAAGCAATAAAAAAAAAAAAAAAAAGGTAGGAAACTCAGAATTAACCCTAAATTTCACTGTATTGATTAAGTCACATATACACATAAACTCACACACATATACCTGGAATTTCATTAGTAGAGATGTTGTGTGATTTGTTAGATAATACTAAATTTATTAATGGAAAAAAGGTCATTTTTAAAAAAAGCATTCTTTTAACTACATGACCCTCCACCTTCATTACCTTTCTTTACTTAAATTATTCCTTTGTTGCCTCTTAGAAATGTTGGACTCTGCTTTCTTTAGTTAGATATTTAGGAAGCCATGTGTGGAGACATAAAAAACAAACCAAAAAATGGCATCACTGTGACCATAGTAACCAAAAACATTGATCTGGATTTAGAAACTTTCCAAATTACAAATTAAGGAGCTACATTTCTATGGATAGCCATATTGTTATTTTGCTATTAATGTCTGGATTTGATGTTATGTTATTCTCATATGGTGGGGTTTTTTAGACTTGTTTTCCTTTATTCAAACAAAAGTCAAACATACAAAATGACTTACAGTATACTGTACATCTTCATGGACCACATTACAGAAGAATACATTGGAAGTACTAATATTTTGCAGAATAGCTTCCTAGCTTTGAAAGATGTGTAAACTTGGTACCCACAAAGTTTAAAGGAATTAAAAAAAACTTTTCAGATTTTTACAACAGCTAAAGTATTACCTATGTTTCAAGTAGTCACCTAAGAAATTCATCCCTCCAAAAAAAAAAACAAAACCCAAACCAAACAACAAGAAAACCCAACCCCCCCCAAAAAACTACTGAATTCCCAGTACTTTAGGGATGTGTTACTGCTTTCAGACTAAAAACACTCCTTTACCCCCAAATCTTCCTTAGGGGTAGGCAGGTTATCAAACCCAGATGTTACTCACTAATATGTAAAACACTAACATGTCATAGTTATTTTGTGGAAAAACCTGATAGGAGCAGCGGTTCTATTCATTTGATAATGCAGATCTAAATGAAATCACAGTACCTCTTTATATTTTTCACCAAGATTGAAAAAAAAGAGGTACAGAATGGTGCAAAGAAAAATCCTTCGGCAAATAATAATGTACCTTAGAAATTCCATCCAAAGGGACCAGTTGAGGCTAAGGTATGGTAATGCCTGCCCGTGCTCCAATCAATACCCAAGATCTCTTTTCCAGTTCCCCTGACAGTGAGCTACTTTCTTCAAAAAGTCTTTCTCAATTTTCCCAACAAAAGTGAAGGAGTCATATTTTTTTTTAAAATTGCAGTGGGGATTAAAGAAAAATCCTATTTGTCCTGTCCTATATAAGTCAAGGAAGGGGGGGGGCGCCATCTCTATAGTATACGCATCTATATCACACTATACAAGTTTATAGTTTCCTATCGATGGCCACACACATGCAATACACAGATGCTATTTTAATCCCGGAGAACACTCTGAAATTTGAAGAGTAATTAGGTTGCCCCACGAGCACGAAGGTAAGTGTCCAAAAAGCACACGATGCAAAGGCAGGGACTGCGGCAGCTTCTCCACGCAGGGTACCCAGAAAGCTCCATGGAGGACAAGCCGAAGACCAACATCAAAGTCTCTTCCCCCCTTCCCAAGGAGGAGCTGGGTTTGGAGAAGCTGGACCAGCGCCTGCCAATTCCAACATCTCCCCCCACCCCTTACCCCCTCTCCCAGCCCCCCGGGTTCCGTCTCCTGTAAAAGTGCTCAGGAGTCCCCCACCAAGTTCCTTCTGGGCTCTCTCAGAGAAGCAGCAAAGCCCCGAGGAAAACTTCCAACACTGTCCGAGGCCGCCAACCCGGCTGGGGAGGCAGAGAGAAGGGGGGAGGGTGGGGGGATGGGGGGAGGTGAAGGGGAGGAGCAGGAGGGAGAGGGGTGGGGGAGGGAGTTCGTGTGTGTGTGCGTTTGTGTGTCCAGTCTACCTTCCTTGAAACAAGGTTGCAACACACCAAGCACACAGATTTCTACTGGGGAGGGAGGAAGAAAGGAGGAAGGCAGGGCCGGGATGGGGGGGGAGGAAGGGAGGAGGGAGTTAAAGACCACACAGGTGTAACATCTTGGGTTCCCTCCTCCCGTCTCTTTCCATCTGCGCCCCCCCCACTTCCCACCTTAAGCCCGGTCCCTGGCATCAACTTCAGCACCACCTCTTCTACCCCCGCCCCCGACAAGCACCCCTTTCCTCTGCCCCCACCCCCAGCGCGCACACCACCCGCTACACCGCAGCGGGGTAAACCCCCGGATTTGCAGTCTCTCTCTTACCAATCCCACACTTTCGACCACGAAACCCAGGGCCCTATCCTCCCCCTCCAATGCAATTATCTGTTGCACTTTCTAAAAAAAAAAATTGCACCCCCCCACACTCCCTCTATCCCAACACGTCCACGGAGGGGGGTATGCACGGAGAGCGACGAGCGCGCAGCTCCGAGGGTCGGTCTAGATGCATACTGTCTCTCTAGAATTATATATGTATGTATGCATCCACGTATATTTGTCAGGGAAAACTTACTTTGAGCGCCGTAGTGCTGAGCGCAGCAGGCAGGAAATAAAAGCCCAGGATCAGGGTTTCCTTTAATCCCCCAAATGCAACAGTGTCAGCGGAAAAGTCCTGCGACCATGCACGGCCGCCAAGGCTGGGGAGGAGGAGGTGGAGGAGGAGGGAAAAGAACGGGGTCAGGAAGCGGCGGGCCCCGTCTCCAGCGGGATGGAGGTGGCTGCCTCGCTGGCCGGCTCGCGGCTGCCCGGCTCCGGCTCGCGGCTGCCCGGCTCCGGCTCCGGCTCCGGCTTCGGCTCGCGCGCTGCCTGCACCGCTCTAGCTGCTCGCTCGCTCGTTCTCTCCCCGCCGCGCTCAGTCTCCCAGGCTCCTGGCACCGAGTCCGGGGCCGTCACATGACGCCGGCGCCGCTCGCTCTGCGAGCCTCCCAGGGCTGGCCGGGTAAGTAGAGGCTGGGACCTCGGGTGGGAGGGTCAGGGAGGGGGAGAGAGGGAGCCGCCGCCGCAGCCCGGGCAGGGCGGGGCGGGGTCCCCACCCACTAGGGTGGAGGCAGCGGCGGCGGCGGCAGCCGAGAGGGGTCGGACGAGTCACTCACACAAACACGCACGGACTCCCTCCGCCCCTCCCTGCCACCCCGCCCTTCCCTCCTCCTCCCTCCCTCTCCTCCCCCTCCTCCTCCTTGCCACCCCGCCCTCTCCTCCTCCCCCTTCTCAGTCACCCAGGGACAGACTTACAGACACTCATTATTATCCGGAGCCGGGGTTCCGCCCCAGATGCCAAACTTGCCCTTCCCTCTGCTGCTGCCGCTGCTGCTGCCGCCGGGGGCCGCGGGGCATTAGGCGTGCGTCCGGCCCGGCGCTCCGAAGGATCCCCCTCCCTCCTTTACCTCCTCCATGCACACACCCACACCCCCACCCAGCCTTCCCCCTCACCCCACCCCGCCTCCCAAACCTGCTGCTGCAACACCGCCCAGGGCCCAAGGGGAAGGAAGGGCGGTGCTGCCCGTTCCGAGGCGTAATGGGGCTGCTGCTGCTGCTGCTGCATAGCTTCCAAAAAACACACCGAGGTTGTGGGACACTGGGCTGTCTAGAAGGATAAATCATCTGTCGCCCAATGGGAGGGGTGGAAAAGGCCAAGCCCTGTGGCTAATGCGGGCCCCTTCTTGGGATGATGAAGAAATGAAATAAAATAAAATTACAAAACCTATAAAAAGAGCCCAGGGGGTGCGCAAGTGGATAGAGGAAAATTCATCTGGAAGAAAAGGTTGGGGTGAAGGTGGGGAGGAGAGGGAATGAGATTTGACCGAACCAAATCTAAGGAAACTCAAGAGTTTCAGGTTAATACGACATCCTGTTTGCAAGCTGCCTTCTTTGTGCACTGGGGCTCTGGGAAAACTCTGCTCCGTCCCAGTGAATGAGGAAGGGATGGGGGAGGGGTACGACTGGTGACTGGCCCTGGAGTCCCCGTTTTGCAGCTTTCTTGTCTTCCCCCCCCCCCCAACCTCCAGGGGTTTCTCTTTTTAAGAGCATTGGAAACCCTTAGGCAAAGCATCTTCTGGTTGAGCTCTGGAGTCTAAGATAAAAAGTCCTCTGTGATAACTAATCAGTACGTTTTTCTTCCTGCTACACATTTGTCTGAAAACTTTCCCCAAAGTGGGTTCAGGTTCACCCCCATATAAAACACCAACTCGTGAATTTGGCAGGATGGAAGGTGGGGAGGTGGGGAGGGTGGATGGGGGGGGCAGGAGGTTAGCCTCAGCAGCATTTCAACTCAAGCCATTCCAGTGGGAAGAGACCATGCCCTGCGTGTACTTTTTTCAGCTTGCTTCACCATGTGTGTTCCAAGGATGGTTGCAGATACTGCTCTACTTTATTTGGAGTCAGGGCCTGGAGAGTAGCTTGCTTGTGTATTTAATGCCTTTTGATTTTCTTTTAAAACAGTATTAGTGTAATAACGAATGCAATAAAAAGAACAAAGGACAAATTGGTTCAATTGTTTTAGTGCTGTGTAATATTTGAAAACACCCCTGCTTCCATCTATGGCTTTTTATTGATTCAAGATGTTTTAAAAGGCCTTTAAGTTCACCTTTATTTTGCTCCTTCCTCTAGGCCCAGTACTACATAATATGCAGAAATATGTTATAAACCTAGTCCTAGAGCTACATGCTATTCTAACAACAGAGGATAATCTTAACATAGTGAAATTTTATAAGTATATTGTACATATTAAAAAATTACTTGGAGACACAAAAGCAACTGAGTCACAGTGGTGTAGCACGGTAGAGATTGGTACACATACCTTTGAAATTTGCATACCTGTAACTCATATCTTTGAAATATGTCTATAAATTATGTATAACCTATGACATTTAAAACTTAAATTATTAGTATTTTGGTGGGGTAAAAGACAAATCCAAAGTAAAAACTGAGTTCCCACAAAAATGCATGCAATTGATTTACAAACCTGTAAACTTGACTCAGAAAATTTGGGGTCCAGTCATTAAATAATTTAGGGCAAGTCAATTACCTTTCCTAAGTTCAAATTTCCTTATCTATAAAACGAGGATAATAATATTGACCCCATTTACCTAACTCACAGGCACTTTATAAAATGTGAAGTGTTGTGTAAATGTGGGTAATAAATATTATTTAAATGCTGGATATTATTCTTATTAGGTCAAGTCCATTGAATACTGGTGACTGATGGAGTTATTTGCATTATATATTTACTCACTGGATTAATTCAAAGCAGGCTTAGAGTTGGAAACTTTTGTCTATAAAAATTTCTTTTCTATCATTCATATGTATGAATAGGCCAAAACTGATTATTAAGTACCTTCTGTATTCCTGATTCCGTGCTAAGTGTGGACATATTGAGTTTGTGGTCCAGGAAAAATAGAGATGAGATTCAAATAGGAAAGGGGGAATTTGGAGACCGACAGCTGGAAATGAATTAATGATTCATCAATGAATATTTATTTAGCACTTATCCCATCCAAAGTAGTATGGAAATAAAAGAAATGCAAGTCATAGTGCCTACCTTCTAGAGGCTTACAATCTGGTTGGGCCAACAAGAAAACTTCCAAGAGCTCTTGGAGATTTAAAGCTATCTGATCCTATGACCTTTGCACAAGGCAGTATAGGAGTGACAGGGATAATAAATGTTAAAAGTTCTGAAAGGGGAAAGATCACTGTGGGCTTCAATGGATAGGGAAGATTTCATAGAGAAGGCTTGAGGTAAGCTTCGAAGGATGGATAGAACGTGGACAAGCAGAGAGAGAGAGAAATGGAAAAGGGAGTGGGGGTGGGGCACTGTGAGCTAGCTAAGCTATAGTAGTCGAAGAGGAAATAATAAAGCATATTTAGAGAAAGGTAAGTTGCCTGACTAAATAAGAGGAGAATAGTGACAACAGATTGAGGTCAAATTATTTTATATTTATTTCTCTGTGTAACTGTTGTATCTTCTAAGTAAACTTAAAAAAACTTCTATTTTGCCTTGGTATCCCCAGGGTTTAAGGACGCATTGCATTGCACATATTAGGAATTTAATTAATAAATGGTTGAATTTAATTGAGCTGAAAGTGGCTGATGGCTGTGGGGGAGAAGGGGGAGGTTACAAGAGGAGCTTGTGGTACAACCCTTGCTCTCAAGGACCTCGCCATCTTGTTGAAAAGACAAGACTCGAACACATGAAACAATTAGAGAACGATTGAATAAAATAGCATATAATAAAGTGCTAAATTAAATATAATCTTGGTTTGCAACCTATTATTCTTATTGGCACAGGGGTGGCTTACCCTCCTTACATTCAGCCATCCAATGGGTGCTCCAAACATCTGGACTTTCCTCCTAGAGTACCCAAGAGCACACTTTGGCCTAGAGGCTCGAGGTAGACAGACAAAGGAATATATGCACAAAGGTGGTAGCAGCCACGCCTTCTCTTTCCCTCCTTTTCCTCTCTGACCTCCACCCTACCCCACCCTGCTTAATGAGGGAGGGAGTGAATGAAGGACTCCTTTGGACTGCTGATTTCACTCCCTAGAAGAGATAATAAATACTGTTGAGTATCTCTTGTGTATGCCACACAGTACAAAAATTTGCAAAGTGGCTTTTTACCTGCCCTAAAACTTCAGAAGCCCCCTTCCCATGTACCCAGGGAGGGGGAGGAGGAAACACCATGCTGCCTTTGAATCTGGTTCCTCTACTTTCAGTAAATAAAAATGTGTTTACTTTAAAGCCCTCTTAAAAAAAAAAAAAAAGGAAAAATGCAAACCACTGTAGACAAAGCTTTAGTTCCTTCTTCTCAAGAAGCAGAAATATACTTCCTTGAGCACAAGGTCCATTTCTGCCTCTCTGTTTGGCTTTTCACCAGGATCTGGTGATTAAATGTAAGACTGGAGTGCACCTAGGCTGTGAACTGAGTGAGAAATTGCCTTTTTGACACAGCCAGCTTATGGGCAGTCTTCATAGGTGTTAAGGTCCTTCATGAGCTAAATTGTTGAAATGGGGATGTACTTTTTTGTCATCATTCTTTTCTGTTTCCCAGCATCTCTAAATAGCAGGGCCAGTTGTTTTGAAGAGTGCCTATCACTTTCCGCCTTCATTTCCCATGGGCACCCCGCTTCACCTCCCCTCCCAACCAAGCCCGTTCCCCACTCCATTTCAAGTCCTCTGCAGTGTGTTTTGTTCCTCGTGATGGTCTTCATTAGAATTTGCTTTATTTAGGGATCCAACATTGCAACAATCGTGATGTAATCAACAATGTTATTCAACGATCCATCCAAATATCTTTTAATATGTACTCCTTATATACACGTATTTTTATTTCCAGTCTTGTGTCTATTACATGCTTTGCAGCTACGTGGCAAAGTCAATGGAAAGCAAGTATTGGAGGCAAGAAGATCTGAGTTCAAATCCTGCCTCAGACACTAACTGTGCAACACTAAACATGTCACTTGAATTCTCTTAGCCTCAGTTTCTAATCTGTAAAATGGGAATAAATGATACCCTCTACCCCAAAGTGTGATTGAGAAAATTAAATGAGATAATCTATGCAAAGCATTTTGGAAACCTTAAAGTACCATAAAAATGATATACTAGCTATCATTGTCCTAGAAGTGTAAAATTTCTGGAAGTTTTGAAACCAAGCTTTTTTCCCCCTTGGGGTTAAAACAGAAACCTGAGCTTCCCCTAGGGATCTATAATATAATCTTCTAGGCAGAAAATTCTGAACAAAGGTTGAGGCTGTCCCCAAAGGGAATTTTGTGCTTTGTGTTGTTAGAGAGTCAATCCTCTTCTGATCAGAATTGTAGAGACCTCAGTGGCAGTGCAAGTCCTACAGTGTCATGCTTTGTTTCTTGCTCCTCCTCCATCTTCAGAGTCAAATGCTTGCTGGTCTTTTCTTTCTTTCTTTCTTTCTTTCTTTCTTTCTTTCTTTCTTTCTTTCTTTCTTTCTTTCTTTCTTTCTTTCTTTCTTTCTTTCTTTCTTTCTTTCTTTCTTTCTTTCTTTC